CACCTTAGAAACCGACGCTGCGGCTGCTCAGTAAGCATGGCAAGCAAAAAGCACGTAGGGCATGAGAAACTCAGACATTTGCCACTTGGACTTACGTTGTATGTTTTATCGCGAGTAAGGTAATACATCGATTTCTGATTAATTTTTAAAAGCGTCACCAGTCATTTTTAAACACCCTGTATATAATTGCAGTTAAAATTGGAAGCAATGCTCGCAATTATAGAACGATTGACCATGTATACTTAAAAACGACGACGACTTAAGAACTTTGCTGTTTTACACCAAAGTACGTTGGTTATTAAATGTACCTGTTTACTCAGTTTTATTGGTACTTTAAATGAGGAAACTGTTCATGTTACCACTCTGGTGTCTAATGAGAGCAATCACTTCCAAGCACTCCTTAAAAACTAAGATCTGAAATGTCTAGTTTCTTTCAACTCCCAACTTGGACTTCGAAATGCTGCACTACTTCAGAGAAATAACGCTATCATAAAACTAGTCACGATCTCAATAGCTTTAAATATATATTATCAAATACATAAAGTAAACATCTTACATTCCTGTATTAAAACTAGGAAAGGAAGAAAATACTCCTACCAGCTCTGGCCCAATTACACTTGCGAGTTGCCTTTGCAGATCTCTGGAAAATATGGTTAACATTTTTCTCTTTTTTCGGTATCGAAGTGGCTTCCAGACAGGTACTTAATTATTTACAAATCATGACCCTGGAAAGGACTATTTGGAACACTTTTATGGAAACTAAACTACGTGGTTTCTATCTACACTCATGTCCATAAATTAAGGATAATTCGGAGTCACGCGGAAATGGAACTCTAAAATAACTATATCACCTGTAAAATCACTACACAAATCTTCAAGAATCATATGCAAATTTCACGAAGTAACCAGATGACACCGATGGTACGTCACAATGACGAGAGTGTAAGAGTGTGATATATAAGGAATACAGGCAAAGAAGTAAAATAGTTCGCAGGCGCTTTATAAGCATTTCAGTGCAATAACCGAATGACACAAAGGACGCATTTGAAGGATTTTTACGTGGTAGAATTATCGGCCGTCTGGAATGTGGGCCAACTGGAAGTATCAGACGAACTTGGAATTGCCCAGAGTGTCATCTCCAGGCTTTGGCAACGATTCCAAAATGATGGTAATCTGAGTAGACGTTACAGCACAGGTCGCCACAGAGTTACAACGCTGAATGAGGACCGGTATTTGGCAGTTACTGCCAAAAGAAACAGGCGGAGCACAGCCTCAGACCTGTCTCGTTAGCTCTCTTCAGCCACTGGTACGACAATTTCCAGGCAGACCGTGTACAGAGGCTTAGGAGAGATTGGTCTATATGCTCGTAGACCTGTCAGATGCGTTCCACTTACTGCAACTCACTGTCGCCTGCGGTTAGCCCGGAGTAGAGAGCATGCATTGTGGACACCGCAACAGTAGGCTTGTGTGATGTTTTCCGACGAGTCCAGGTTTAGCTTGCAGTCTGATTCTCGCCGGACTTTCATATGGAGAGCTCCAGGTACCCGGTACCACCAAGAAAACATCATTGAACGACACCGTTACGGTGGTGCAGGAGTGCTCGTTTGGGGTGGAATTATTCTGGATTCCAGAACTGACCTGCATGTTCAAATTGGAACCATGACAAGCCAAATCTATCGGGATGTCATTCTGGAACAACATGTACGTTTGTTTCGGAGCGCCATGGGCGCACAATTTGTGTTTATGGATGACAACGCCCGTCCTCACCGTGCAAACATTGTAAGCGAATGCCTTCAATCGGAGGATATCACCCGTATGGACTGGCCAGCATTCTCACCGGACTTGAATCCAGTAGAGCACGTGTGGGACGTACTTGGCCGACGAGGTGCAGCGCGTCAACCTCCTCCTACATGTTTACCGGAACTTCGGAGAGCATTGCTTTTTGAGTGGTGTAATATCCCCCAAGATCCGATCGATAATTTGATACTAATCATGCCTAGGCGTTGTACGGACTGTATTGCATCGTCTTGGAGACATACAATGTATTAACAATCATACCAACCATGTAATATTGGTTTTTTGTAAATAGGGTTTTTTTTTTTTTTTTTTTTTTTTTTTTTTTTGTAACTTGCTCCAGGGAGAAAAAATCGCTAATTTTTTTAATAATATCAAACATATAGCATATTTTTTTGCTCTTTACCTTTTGTTTAATAAATAAGCTTTACAAGTAAGTTAAATTTGTTTTGCTTCCAACTCTTCCGTTGCCTGATTTTGCATTATCCTTAATTTATGGACATGAGTGTACTTTGATATACGTATGGAAAAGGCATGCTATTTAATCAGGATGATTTAAAATATTTAGACATCTGTATTGAAGTTATTATGCGTGGTAAGCTCCTAGTTTTATACAGAACGTATTGAAGACCAAGATTTCAGACTTTTAAAGCAAAAATAAGTCTTCACTTTACGATAATTTCATTTAAAAAAAGAATGAATCTGTGTGTTACACATTTTTACCTAAAATAAATTCTAATTTAAAAGACCCTTTTCCAAAATAGATGGAGCTTTGGATGATGTAATATTTCCGCATAAGAGGCATTTCTGCATATCACAGGTGTAAGCACGAGGAATTTGCTAAAAGTTGTAACTAATTGGAAATAATATGGGACATTTCTGCGCAGCCGTCCTGAAAGAATTAGTCTATCCCACACTTTTTTTTTTAATAATGTGCAATTCTGCCCTGCCAGCTGCTGTTAGCAGTGGTTGTATGGTTTTATTTTTTTTTCTGATGTTTAAAAAAATGTATGTAAAACGAATTTCACTCTTATTGCAGCATTTAAAAGGAAACATGTGCAGTTCATAGCCCCTATTAATATTGACAATTTCGTTTTAATGCAAATTCTAAAGTACTATTTCGAGTTGTAATAAAAACGAAACCGAAAGACGCGAAGGATGGATGACAAAGCACAGTAAAAAAGTTTTGAGAGTTATAGAACATATTTGGAAGTCTAACGTAGCCGATCAAATGCATATGAACGAGTTTGAGAAGATGCCTCAATATAAATACTTTCTTAGTGAAGAAGTTTTAGTGAAGCAATGATCAGTGGTCTGTTATACCGAAATTATGAAATTTTAGTTAATATATCATCATTAAAAATTTTAATGCTTCAGAGAATGCGGAAGATGTCTTAAGATTCCAGCTAGAATCATACAGCACTGATGATTTAGTTTTTCCTACCAATTACTAGCTTTCATTCATTTATACCATAAGTAAGACATACGCAGGGTTCTCATCCTGAGCACGGAAAGAAAGGACATATTTTGAAAAACAGCACAAATTATTTCGTGAATGGAATATTTAAATGAACCTGTAAGCGATTTTCTGAGTTGTAAATCTTGCATACATATTTGAGTAACTGAGTAGATAAACATGAAGTGATGACTGTAGCATATGCTTTGATGTGCGGTATAGAAAGAAAGAGATTTATAGTAAAATCTTTCAAGCTTTCGCAAAAGCTAACTGAAATCCGAACGCATTAATATGCATAATAAACAAGAATCACTTAGTGACATTTAAATTGCTTATTTTCCAATGCAGCTATTTAGGATGTAATTACCACTTTACTGAAGCACTTTGAAGAAGCAACAAAGAGATTCGTCTAATGAATATGTATCGGTAAAATGGGGGGAAAATGAATGCCCTGCCAAAATGTGCGTAGCATTAGTGTACCCTCCTCAGCAGTTCATCAACAAAGAATCTAAATTAAGAAGATTTTCTTGATGCTTTGTTGGTCAATGGTTAGATAACGAAACTGTTCTCGAGGAAATGTGAAACTGTAATAATAGAAGCATAGACTAAATTATATTGTAAAAAAGTGAAATTTCAAACTCACAAACGTATGTAAAGATTTCATCTGAAATTAAGGAAGTTCATTAAAATACTCAAAAACTATTTGGAATATATCTATTAACAAATCAATTACACAGATTTGAATTTTTCTGTAAACAGGATAAAATGTTATATCCAGGTGGACAAAAAGATTGAAAGTAAATTAGTGGTAACGAGCCATATAAAAAAAGCCTAAAAACTTTGTTGTTCATGTCTGACTAGAATATTACTAAGAATATATAATCAAAAAGTGAAGAATTGAAGAATATAATCAATGATTTAAACTTTAAGCACAAAAGATTAAAAACCTCGTGATTAAAAAAATAATGTTTCTATGGCAAACTTCGGATTGGCGGTAAAATCTAACATTTTACTGCCAGCCCGAAACCTGGATATAAGGCGAGAGGAAATTACAAATGTTTGCAAGACAGATAAGTTTTAAGATAGTTATCAATCTATACACAAATACTCGTTATCACGTACATAATTTAAATATGTTGTTCAAATCTATATTTATACCTTCCAATAACTACAATTTTGCTTTAGTAAATTGAAAATGGGAATCAGTATTCCAAATTTCTTTGAAAGGTAATCAAGGAAGGAATAGCTTCAATTCAGAACAATGCTCGGTTATAGATCGTAATTGATCTCGAGGATACACAGTCGACCACAACAGCAAGTTTCAACAACAGCTCTGTCTTTCTAAAAGGCAGTCGATGTGAGAAAGCCTCTGCATTTAACCTCTATGACGATGGAATTATTTCATCGCTATAGTGAATGAGGAATGATGACTTTACGTCAACGTGAAGCCCACGTGAACTTGTTTTTAGAAGAACGAACTATCTCTTTAGTTATCTCACTGGAAGGAAAGATTCACAAGGGTAATGTTCGTTTAGTTGAATCACATGGCGGTTATATTTCAAAAATTGCTCTGTTCGGGTACTAATTATCAGCATCAGCGATAAGCCGCACTTTTAACAAATCTTACGACCTTGCTAATAAAGATCTGCGGTCCCCCTAGTATTAATAGATTACAGCAAGACAGCGCCTCAATACAAATATAAGTCGTACACACTTTATAAAGCGTGTAAGTCGTACACACTTTTAGCATGTACTTGCTTTGGCAGTACATATACTAAAATTGAAACGATACAGAGAAGATTAGCATGGACCCTGCGCAAAGGATGACACTTTTAGCATAGCATACAGAAATTACTGAGGGTTTGATTGGGAAATTTTGCCTTACTTACTATACTGTTAAGATTTCGCATTAACAGATTGCCACATTTTTCGATCGTGAGCTGTGCCTTCGAGATATAAGTTTCCGTTAACGAAGCTTGGGGAATGAGTGATTAGAATTATTCAAGTTTAAGCTAAAACAAGTTCCAAAGAACTGGGTCCAAAAATTGTTCGAAGATTGGCCAGATGATCGTATTTACTTTGCGCAATACTCACTTTTTGGTTTTTACAAAGTGTACATTCATGGCATGCTGAAAAGACGGCTAGAAAAATTTTCAGCGACCCAGTATTTGAAGGAGACATGTTTAAAGAAGTTGAATCCACTTAAAATAATTTCAATTAATTGTTGTTCAATGTTGAGTATCTCTAGTGCGCTAGATCTATCTAAAATCGACTCTACATCCATAATCTTCCCTGTGTCATCGACGCTCGATCCTGTGCGCTAGTGAGTCATGCGAATTGGATTTTGGGAGTATCAATTTAGATGTACGTGAATGTCTGTTCTTTAATTACTATTTTAATGTCAGATTCTTGTGATGAAACCCTACTCCTACGTTGTTTATCTTTACATCTTCTTAGTTTCTCCTAGCTTTATAGCAAACACAATCGTTTTGTATACATATTTTCGATTTACGAACTTCGGTTTAAAAGAATCTTTGCATAGTGAATTGAATTCAGAAACAGAGAAAAGATTTGTTATTTCTAAATTACAAGGTATGAAAACAACTTTTTGATATATTTTTTATTGCGATCAAACTTATATCAGGGAAGCTATACAAGGCAAATTTTCTATAAACATAGATGCAGATATAGCGACTACGACGACAAATTTTCATCTGCCAGCATCTGCTGAAAAGAATGAGCGTAACCAGGGATCTGTATAAACTGTAATGTCTGCTTATTTATGGTACAATTCTTAATTGACAATTGGAAAAATATCTGCATTTTTTTATTTATATAGGTGTCTGTTTTTGCAATAAGCTTTGTATAATTCAATCATGGTAACTTTGTTTTTAATGTTATATTATTTTTATTTGGACAGTAAATTTCATTTGATTTTAATTTTACTCAATAATTAATTCTTACTTGATTTTTAGTAGCATCATTTTTGAGCCTATATTTCATATTCATGTGCTTTTAAGTTAGTTTATTTGAATATGGAAAAGCACATGAAATATATCTGCCTAAGAGAAGGGATGTCTTTGCGGAAGGCTTTCTAAGGAAAACCGACTCGTTTCCATATTACACATGAGAAAAAAAAAGTACGAAAACACCCACTTGGTTAGCTCGTTCGTTGGGGTTTGGACTATAAGTGTTCAGTGCTCTTAACTACTCGGCCGCTGTGGGACCATCTGTTTTCAATCTTAGGCTTCATACACATCGTTTCAGTATCAAAATGAATCATATTTGTTGTAAATAATTTAGTTATTTTATGTTATATAATTTTATTGATTCCTGATGTAATAGCATATCATATTTTTAGTAATAATATGCACATTTTATTCTTTGTTTGACTTTTAACAGAGTTTACTTTTATGATGTATGTTAAACATGTGCTGGGCACAGATTAAATTTATTGGTTATGAATTAAAAATGCAATCACATTCACAATTCTGAGTAGCCCTTTGGGCTACTAATTTCGTTTTGTCATTTTTCGTTGGTTCACGATAAATGCCGGTTCACTTTTCAAACTGTTGCCACCAAATATTACATCCCTGTATTATATTTAAAAAATTAAATAATGAAGAATCTGCAGAAATGTGTGTATGTTTCTCGCATTGTGATAAAACAATGGTACTTAAAGCCATCCAATTTTGAATGACGTAATCCTACTGCGAATATGGGCATCTGGAAGCCCAAATTTGAAATTTGGAATTTGTTTTATTATCGATTTCATATTTTGTAAAACACTGACGAATTTTTGATTAACAGATGCAACGCTTTCAAAGCGAGCAAGCAATGGCAACACTACACAAGGAAAAAAAAAATTATCTCCAGCGCGCGAAGCTGTGTACTACAAATTTTAAAGATATGTTCATTTAAAAATTATTTTGCGATATTGCTTGGGCGTAATTGTAAAATCTAAAAGCTTTCAGATTTTTAAAATTTTATTTTATTTATTTATTTTTAAATTTTCAGTACGATAGAATCAAATTTAAAAACTTACATAGCTTACTTAGCAGGTTTATATAACAATTTACAGTTTGAAATAGCTACTGAATTCATTTCAGCTATTTGAAATAAATTTACAGCTGCAGAGAGATGAAGTGAAATTTATCCCTTTCACATTTTGTTCAAATATAAACTAGTCTTTTAGAGAATAATTTAGTTAGGTTTCCAATATTTACACACAAAAAAGGGGGGAAGAGGGAAAATAGAAAAGGAAAAGAAAGAGTCATAATAAAGACATTATGATGATTTAATATGGAGCTATTGCAAGATGTACTGTACTTAACACGAAGTTTCCTAATTGGGATTTAAACCCTATTTTCAAGTACTGAAAAATCAAAGTTATTTATCATCTATAACGTTGCGCGCCTCCAACTTGCACGCAACCAAGAGGTGACTGTGAAAACTTGTATAAAGATAGAGCCTTGTGAAGGGTTTAAGTCCCTTTTTATTCAACGTAATAAAATTACAATTGCGTGCTCTTGACGCTCACAGACTGTGCCAACTTGGCAGTCAAATAAAAATAATAACCTGAAAAGAAAGTAAAGACAAGATTCTAACTACGAGGCTCTCTAAAATAACTAACTCACCGCGTTTTACAAATACCGCCGCTAATTCAGCAGACTTGAAGCTGACTGGAACAATTGCAACTACTTCCCGCCAAGCACATAGGCCGCAACGCGGGGTTCTTTAATTCTCGATTTCTACCTCCGCGCTCGCGAAGTAAGAATAATTCTCTCACCGAACTCGTTTCCTTCTATTTAAATCATACTACTTCCGCTGATAATTTGAATGCTTGCGCGTTCTACTAAAATTTACATATTCTGGCATTGGCAGTTCCAGGGGAAAGTAAGGCTTGACAGGAAAGATAGTTTAAACTTAAAATAAATGTTAGTTAAAATAAATATAAACCCTACATTTGCCGCTGCCAGAATTTGGAAAACTTGGAAGCAGGTCCTACAAACGACCTGTTGTAAGTTTCTCTAATTCTGAACTAATTGGCGAGAACCTCGTTTACACAAAAATATCTTATGTAATAATTTGTATACTACAATTCTGTTGATCTTATAAAGCTCTCTTCTTACAGCAACTTTTCCTGGACTTCATCAATCAATCTTGGTCTTTCCTTCCAGCATCTGGAAGGAATAAGTATCAGTATCTTTCTACATACATTATAATTTACACTTTCTTGACACAATAAATTTTTGTTTTTAAACGATTCGTTTTTCTTAGTTATTGCTTACTTCACATTCATTCAATTTTTCAAGCATTAATTTAACTTTACCCTGGCTCTCCACCGTGTGTGGTGTCAAACGGGAATATTCGTGTTTTAGTCTTACAACACTTCCCCTAACCACCATGATTTGTTAGAATTCAAACGACCAAATAGACACACCTTACTCGACATTCTACAACTCAATGAGCTACTTTAATAGTCTTAAAAATTCAAATGTAGGTGGAGAACCCTACAAAACACATTCATTCTAACTTCCCCCTCATTCATCTTTAAAACATGCAGGCTTTCGCTCTAAAGCATGACTTTATCTACAATTTAACTACTTAAATTTTGACTTCATTGCTTTTAAGCATTCACTTTTAGCATCTACAATTTTATGCTTCTAGACTAAATTCTACTTTTACATAACATTCAAGTATTTACATACATTTACAAAATTTTAATACATATGCTTTTTACAATTTACCATAAAATGAATAAGAGAAAATAAATTTTTACTTTACTCATTCTTCGCCAAGCTGGCGGCACTGAAACTAAAATTCTTATTAATACAAGAATACGAAGTTATTTTTATCTTCGGCCCAATTTTGGCTTTCACATAACAGAATTAGTCTTTCGACCAACAGAAAATGCTTGTTTTTAGCTTTCACACTTAAAGAAAATAATACTTTTGCCTTAGCTAAATAAAGTAAAACAAAACTAAGTCTCAACCGAGACATATTGACTTTCGTCAAAACATAGAACTTCGTACTTATGCATAACATTTCGGAACAAAAGAGAAAAAAATTTATAGAAGGTTTTAACTTATCTTTGAGTTTTCGATGCTTGAAACTCCGTCATCCGTTTTTGGCAAAATTGATCCCAAGTTAGAGGTTTCATGGATGTCAATCTTCTCCTTACTGCCCTCCGAGTGTCGTCCACCTGACTTTTTCTTTTGCGTCCTCTACATGCTGGCCTCTTGGCGGAGTAATCGTCTGGTTGTTGGTATTTCCGTTTATCCCTGGGACGGCTGGTCTTGACGTCCTCCGGTCTGGAGTCCTTCTTGAATTTCTTCTGTTCGTCGTATTTTTGTGCCTCCTGTTGTCGTTTCAGTTTCCGGAACGGCGGCCTTGCTGGCACCTGACTCTGTGGCCGTGTGCGCGTTCTCCTTGATGTGTAATTTCTCCTGCCATCCTTTGTAGGTGGTGTTTTTCTCTTTACCACGGTTTCTTTACCCGGTTCATCTGTATTTTTGTTTTTCTTAAACGCGGAGTTTGAAAATTATTTTTTTTTTTTTGATACCGACGTCCGGGTTGTAGAAGTGCTAGGTCTCTCTTCAGTTCGTTCTCTGTTTCTTGGGTGGTGGAATAGTTGTTGTCTCTGGCCCTTCTATTTCGTTTAGACTTGAGTCCTGCAAGAAACTTTTAAGGATTTCAAAATCATTTGGATTATAGTATTTTTTCACCTGGTCGGGACTTGCTTTACAGATTTCCCTCTCTCGTTCTTAAGATATAAGACTACTCCTTTGATTTCCTGAATTAAAAAAGGGCCTTCAAACTTTGGAGCTAGCTTTGCCATAAAATTGTCTGGGGC